TACACTGTGTTATTCTCATTTATTACAACCATGTCCATAATTTACAAGCTGATTATGCAAGTCTCTTACAAGGGAAATCAAAATAGTTATCCACTGTCAAAGAATGGTAAGCCGGCACACATTTGATCAACTACATTTTCTTATATAGCTATCTGAAAGGAGCATCAAGATCTACAAATTCACTATAGCAGGAATTAATACTGAAAAGGACTATTTTTAAGACAACTGTACAAAAGGCATTGGAGAGCAACCAGGTGTTCTAAGTAACAGATGAATGACAACAAAATATCAACATGGAAGTCATGTGTTTCACTACAAGATGTTTTTAACAAAATATTGTGATAACATTTCAAGAGGAAAAAAATCAATTTGCTAATACTACTTTTCTTTTTAATGATACATTCTTCCTAGTTCTGAATTAAAAGTGTACACTTTAGAAAGCCAACAATATGTCAGCTATTTCCACTTAGCAAGAAAACTGAAAAATGTTCACTGCTGTGGATTTCCAGAAATATTAAAAGTTCAGAATTTATTTCAATTATTTTCTGACTGCACAGAATAACAGAGTTGATGCATTTGAACAACTCTATTATAAAAACACTAATTATTTCTAGATAAAAACATTTCACAGTCCATTTATTTTTCCAAGATGCTTTATTACAGCACAACTACAACAGAAAAAATTCATTCATTCTAATAGCACATGTACACTGTGCTATATAAACTCTAGCTATCAACAAAAGGAATTCTGATCTCAAAAAAATGACCATGAAACACCTGGGATATGTTACCTACACGTTTTTTATTTTAAAATTATAAAATGACCTTTAGGTCAAAAAAGAACTTTACAAAAAAATTCAACAAGTCACTTCTACGTGCCACTATACATCAAAAGCATCCTAATTTATGTTCAGTATCTGGTGTCAAAATGCCATTTTGCCTGTAACATTAAAGCACCACAAAACTCTAAAACGCTCAATAGCAGCATGCACGTGCGTGCATACACACACACACACACACACACACACACACATTCGTGGGAATTCAGATGCCATAAGAGAAGCACCAGAGATCACAGAACTGGTAACACACGTCATTCTATGACCACTCTTACACATGAGACCAGCTGAACAAAAACTAAAACAGACAAATAAACAGGGTTCCCATCTCTATTCTGATGATGTTGTTGGGTTGGGTTGGATTTAGTTTGGTTTCTGCCCTCAAATATTGGCCTGCAACCCGGAAAACCAAAACCTGCATACTTAGAAATGTATTTCATTATATATAAGTATTCTTCATAGTGAACATTATGAAATACATTTTCTATATAGTAGTGAATACGTATACTAAAAAGCATCAGTTACAAGTAGCTTTCAATTCAAACTTTTTAAAAGTTTACCTTTAAAAAATGGAAAACTGGGGCCGGGGATTTAGCTCAGCAGTTCAGTGGCCTGCCCTGCAAGTGCAAGGACCCGAGTTCAATTCCCGGAACCAAAAATAAATAAATAAAAATAAAATTCCTTTAACCTTTAAAAAATGGAAAACTGGGGCCGGGGATTTAGCTCAGCAGTTCAGTGGCCTGCCCTGCAAGTGCAAGGACCCGAGTTCAATTCCCGGAACCAAAAATAAATAAATAAAAATAAAATAAAATAAATAAAAAATGGAAAACTATTTTACAGGAAAATTTCTAAATTAGACTTTGATGTCTACAAGACATACAAGGTGATTAAAACACAAGTGTAAGCAAATTACTCTTTTTTTTTTTGGTACTGGGGAGCGAACTCAAGTCCTTGTGCTTGCAAGACAGGCAGCAGAAAGATGAGCTAAATCCCCATTACAAAAAATTACTCAACTGATTTATTTTTTTCTACCTTGTTATGCAGAAATGAAAACTATTCTCTAGTAGAACTTATAACATTTTCATTAACATTATGTAGAAGAGACAAATAATATAAAATCTGTAGCATAAAATAGTACTTGAGAATAGATTTCACAATCTGTCTAAATTTCTTAAACTTGAAGGTTACTGAATTATTACAGAATAAAGAATACAATGCTCAGATTATATACATTTAAAGGAAGTAAATATACTTAATAAAATTTTTAAAAAGCATTTAATGACTTTTATCATTGTACTACTGTAATTTGCAATGATAATTAAAACGTATTATCTTTTCAAATTTATGTGTTAAAAACTCAAAACAGATTTGAAAAATAAAATAGTACATTTGTAGAAATTCTCTAATTGCAGCTAATAAAGTTCTGTTAATTGCTTTTCTTAACAGTTCACTTCTCAATGAACAGGAACAAATTTTCTCATGAAGTAATTGTAACTCTACTCATACAAATTTTCTCCTTTGTTTTAAATTCACCATAAATGATGAAATACAAAATTAAATCATTCTGCTCTTTATCTAGCATTAGTAATATTCAAAGACATTTATCTAACACTAGACCATCTATAAAAATTAAGGGCTAAATCCTAAAGATATCCATTTACCTCACTGTGGAATTTCCCCAGGCTCCATGCTTGTCTGTGAGAATGTTGATAATTTTCTGAATTAGTTGAGTTGCCGTCACATAATCTCGATATTTAGCTGCTCTTATCAAATGATCACACATCTTTTCCTCTTCTCGCTTGTCTGCAGAATACTGGGCACAGAGAGACTTGAATGGAAAAAAGTAAACATTCATTAATATTATAAAATACAGGAGGGGGATTTAAACTACACCAGGAAATAATCTCCAGCATGGATAAAACCAACACAAACTTTTCTATCCCTCATTGAATTATTTAGCTAACATTTAGTGATCTCCTTTCTTGGTATGACTCAAAAATTTAATTTTCTCAAATCAATCATAAGATACACTCAGAAATAAATAGTTAACAAGGGACTCAAAAAATAAGCAGCATCCAGTCATGTAAATGCAGAGGCTCAGAATTACAAAATAGCATGAAGTAAAACTGTAAAAGACTTGAGTCATAGGAGTAACAGGAATACAGGTAGGAAATGACTTTAGAGACCTAATGGTGAGTTGCGTCATCTGTATTATGTAATTATGCTGAGGAATTTAAATTTTATTCTCATGAAAGAGGATATCAGTGAAAAGTTTTTCTTTTTACTTTTTCGTTAACTTTATGGTAACTTTTAGGTATAAAATATGTTGACATTCATTCAATGGAGTTTGTACCTTTACTTTGGCCCATTTTTTTTTTGGCCCTTTTTTTATTGAGTTTTTGGCACATTTTTAGATATACAGTACAGTTACACTCATCATTGGGATCTTGTACTCTTACATGACAGCTCTTGGTTCTCCTTTTTTCCCCTTGTCCCTGCCCTCCCTTCATGTCCTCCTCCCCTCCCCATTTACAAACACTTTATTTCTATTTTTTTCATTTTCTCATATTTTTTTCTTTTCTCTTATTACATTTCCCCAATCCTTTCCACTTTACCTACAACTTTAGCTCTTTTCTTCCTATTTCACAGTATTAATTAGGATCTTGTGTACTATTATAGTTTTTCACATCAGAGAAATTATTCGGTATTTATACATGTGTGATTTATTTATTTCACTTAGGATTTTATCCTCAATATGTATCCATTTTCCTATGAATGAATCTAATTTCTCATTCTTTGTGGCTGAGTAGTATTCCATTTTATAGAAAAACCACATCTTCTTTATCCAGTTTCCAACTGATGGGCAAATGGGCTGTTTCCATGTTTTAGCTATTACAAACTGTGCCACTATAAACATGAGTGCACATATATCACTATGATATAACTCTTTCAATTCTTTTGGAAAGATACCCAGAAGAGGGATGGCTGGGTCAAATGGAACCTCTAGTCCCAGCTCTTTCAGGCACCTCCATAATGATTTCCATAGTGGTTGCACTAGTCTGCACTCCCACCAACAATGGAGAAGGGTTCCTTTCTCCCCACAGCCCCACCAACATTTGTTTTTGTTTGATTTCTTGATAGCCAATCTTTGTGGCTTTGAGGTGGAATCTCAGTGTGTTTTCATCCGCATCTCTCGAAGGAGCAGAGATGTGGAACATTTTTTCATATATTTACTTGCTGCTTTTACTTCTTTGAGAAATGTCTGTTCATCTCAGATGCCCATTTTTGAATCAGGTCCTTATATTTGGGGGGGCTGATTGTTTTGAGTTCTTTATATATTCTAGATAATAGTCCTTTGTCTGAGAAGCAGCTGGTAAAATTTTTTTCCCACATTATAGGTTGTCTCTTAGTTCTGTTGATGGTTTCTTTTGCAGTGCAGAAGCTTTTGAATAAGATGAGATCCCAGTTGTTGATTTTTTCTGCTAGTTCCCGTGTATTGAGGATTTGTTCATAAAGTCTTTTCCTATGCCAGTGTCTTCAAGAGTTCTGCCTAACTTACCTTCCAGCAAGTTTAGTGCTTCTGTTTTAATATGTAGATCTTTAATCCATTTGGATTTTAGTTTAGTGCATGGTGAGAGATAAGGGTCTAGTTTTAATCTTTGGCAGGTTGAGATCCAGTTTTTCCAACACCATTTATTAAAGTGGCTATCTTTCCTCCAGTGGGGATGGTCAAAGATGAAGTAGCTGAGCACATGTGGAGTTATTTTTGTGTCTTCCAATCTGTTCCACTGATCCTCAGGTCTGTTTCTTTGCCAGTACCACGCTGTTTTTATCACAGTGGCTTTGTAGTATAGTTTCAAATTGGGAAATGTTATACCCTCTGCCATGTGTCTGTTGCCTAGAATTGCTTTTGCTATTCTAGGTCTCTTATGGTTCCAAATGAATTTTTGGATTCTTTTTTCTAGTTCTATGAAATATAGTGTTGGATTTTAAATTGGCACTGCACTGAATCTGTATAGCAGTTTTGATTCTTCCTACACAGGAGCAGGGGATATCTTCCCACTTTCTTACAGCCTCTTCTATCTCTTTTTTCAGAGTGCTATAGTTTTCAGTGTGTAGGTCTTTTGCTTCTTTTGTTAGGATGATTCCTAGATGCTTCATTTTTTTTGGATGATATTGTGAAAGGAATTATTTCCCTTATTTCTCTCTAGTGAGTCTGTTACTTGCATACAAGAAAGCTACTGATTTTTTGGGTGTTGACCTTGTATCCAGCTACTCTGCTAAAAGTGTCAATTAAGTCTAGAAGTCTTTTGGTGGAGTTTTTTGCGTCTTCAATGTAGAGTATCATATCGTCAGCAAATAATCACAGTATCTGGGTGTGATAGTGCACGCCTGTAACCCCAGCACTCGGGAGGCTGAGGCAGGAGGATCACTGTGAGTTCAAGACCAGCCTGGGCTACATAGTGAGTTCCAGATCATTCTCAACTACATAGTGAGACCCTGTCTCAAAAAAACCGAAAAGTTTTAAGTAGTAGAGTGACAGACCAATGTACATACTAAAATGATCACTATAGCTGTCATTTGGAGAATGTATTATAATGGGATAAGATAAGGGAAGTGAGGAGATAAGCTATGAAGCCACTGCCCAGGTTCCAAAAACACTTTTAGAAACTGAAACATTTTAGTCTTTTGAATTCTAACTATGGAAAATAGATACACAGCACTGAAATCACCTGCAAGATCAAATGTGCAAAATCTTGGGTCCATTTCAAACCTCCTAAACCAGTATTTGGATTTTAATAAGAATCTGGGGTGACCTGTATGTACATTAAAGTTTGAAAAGTAATTTTGTCAATAGAAAATCTTCTGGGATTCTTCAACAATAATCAGATATAATATAATCATTAGTTTCCAAAACACTTAAGAATTCAGATATATGTGGTGTCGTATTTCTGATATTATATTGAAAATATTACTTGAACAAAGAAAATACAAGTAATGTAAACTTGATCCTTTCTCAAGTCTAACAGACTCCTGTCTTTAATTTTCAGATGTTAGGTTCACAAATAAACACATACATGCACAACCTCCAATGAGTAACCAGTGATGTTAGCAGAAAAACTACCCTCTAAGTACATGATACATACTTTAGTCACCTGCTTCAAGGACTGAATACCAGTTTGAAAAGATTACTCCCACATACAGTCACCAATTCAGAGACAGCAACAAAAGAGGGTCTCGATTGTCCTAATCCTCCTGGATAATAATCACTTCAACAGTGACCTGGGAAAGTACCAGATACAACAGTTGCAACAAGTGGAAAGTTCAAGATTTTTGGTGGAAAGTTCCCTCCTTCCTTTAGGTATGAAGCATTCAATTCAAGAGTGCCAATTGCTCTCCATACTATGAGGGAAGCCTGACTGGATATAAAGCCAAAACCCAAAGAGCAGAACTGCAAGAACTAGACAAAAATAAAGTTTATTCCAAATGAAATCATCAACTTCTGGATCAATCACACCCAAAAGAATAGTGTGCTTCTCAACCAGCGATGGCAACCTTTTTAGAGCCTGCAATGACACAAACAGCCCGCAGTGGCCTGTATGTCATAGGTTCACCACCACTGCTTTAGACTTTCTACTAGTGCTTTGTAAAGATTTTTTATTAGTTCCAATAAACTCTTTGTCTTTACATGCTCTTATCAAATAGGTTTTCCATTCCTTACACCAAAAGCAACCCAAAAAATGTGGTATAAGAAATCAAATAGCTGTCAGTCTGAGCAAAACATATATCATAGGATTTCAAGGTTGAATTTAATAATGAAAGTATTTGAGAAGGTTAAGTCTTTCTTTTTTGCCTGTTTTGTTTTGTTTGGAGACAGGGTCTTACTACTCAGTTCAGGTTGGCTTTGAGCTCACTACATAGCCCAGGCTGGCTTTGAACATGTAGTAATCCTCCTGCCTCAGCCTCCCAAGGTCTGGAATTACAGGTGTGCACCACCACTCTCAACTCGAAAAGGTAAGTCATTCTTGCAGGGAAATAAAACAAACCAAATTAAAGCAAAGACAAAGCATAAACCTGAATCAGTTTCAGGGACAAGAAAGGCAATAGTTTGACACGAGCACAAAATAAAGGCTGAAAACGTAATACATTAAAGAAATCCTAGAAAGCAGGATGAAGAAAAAAATTCACTAAAATGTATGCAACAGCCAGGTATAGTAGCACACACTGGTAATCCTGACACTCCAGGAGGCTGAGTTGGAAGAATGATAAGTGTGAGCTCAGTTTAAACAACTTAATTTCTTAGCAATACCTGTCTCAAAATAAAAAATTTTTAAAAGGGCTGAGATGTAGCCCTGGGTTCAACCCAGTAATGTGTGCACACATACAAACATACATCAAAATCATTATGTGTTTATATGAACACAAAGTTATAAGCAAAGCAAAATCCATATCACAGTATCAGCACATCAATGTTTCTTGCCAGTCTTGAATAATTACTTTATTTCCCTCTTTAGGCAAATGTCCACATCTGCAAAATGATGAGGTTATCATCAACTGAAGAATTTGTCAACTAGACTCTAGGAATGGCCTGAAACAGAACTGCGTTGAAACTAAAACACTTGAAACAAAACAGTGAATTAGAGAAAGTAAGTCAATTAGTTAAGAGCTACATTTTAAAAATTAAATGTAAATGCATATGCTGTATCTTTTTAAACAGTTATGTGAAATAAGCCAAAGGAGAGCAGAGTTTGGGGAAAATGTTATATGAACAAAAAAATTTTAAATATCTGAAGGGACAGTAGTTGTAAAGGAACACATATAGACAAT